CGTTTTTGAGTTCATATCGAAAATTATTCAATCCTAATTCGTCAATTTCGTATCAGTTTCATGTTATATTAACGCATTGTGTTGAAAATTGTCACCATTATCGAGAGACCTTTTTTTAAGCTAGTGAAATCCATCAATTTGATTGTGATGATGATGCAGGTGGGCTGATATGGGTGAGCGAGTGGGATGCTCTGCAGTATTCAGTGGCCTCAGCATTTCTTGCTGTTCTTTATAGTGATTACATGCTCAGCTCACAAACATCAACGCTATTTTGCAATGGGGAACTATACGAGCCAATGGACCTTCGAAAGTTTGCCATTTCACAGGTATATGCTGTTACTCAACATCAAAAAGTACTTTAAAAGCTATGCTCATTCCCAAAATACCAAAGCGATTAGGAAGAAAAGAAACCTGACTTTCTTGAACAATTATTACCAAAAATACCAAAGTTTTTTTGTAAAGGTTACATTTACATAGTTAACAATTTACAACTCAAATATTCTGAGTTCGAATCATGACAATCTCGCGAGGTTAATTCACGAAGGATAAATCCTTCGCGAATACTCTAATCCTGCCGTAACATATTTTCACGCATAAACTCAATTTTTTAATATCAATTTTTCATACTAATGCAATCATGTTTACGCCCAAGGTCAAATCCTAGTTCTGCCTCAACTATAGACTGACTCCGAGTTGTGTCTAGGCTGATTACGTGCTGGGTGAAAACCCGATGAAGATGAGCTACCTTGTTGGGTATGGAAGTAGCTACCCTCAGTATGTACACCACAGGGGAGCTTCAATTCCGGTTGATGCCCAAACAGGCTGTGGCGATGGGTTCAAGTGGCTTAATTCGTCAGCTCCAAACCCAAATGTAGCAATTGGAGCACTTGTTGGTGGTCCATTCCTAAATGATACCTACATCGACTCCAGGAACAACTCTATGCAAGCTGAACCCACCACTTACAACAGTGCCTTTGTCGTCAGCCTCCTTTCAGCACTCATTGCTACAAATTCTCCGGTGATTCGGTCATTTGCGTGAAAAAAAAGTATCGGTTTCAGGTACATATACCTTTTCTTGAAGGCCGTCGTTCAAACTTTTCGTGGTAGTCTAGCATGGGTTACAGTGCAGTAGTGGTGGTACTCGAATCATGTGTTCAACAATTGCTAGGAAATTACAGTTTGTTTTGTGCTTTTAACCATCTTAAAGCTTATGGTAACTCTTGTATATAAACCTTCCACCAAATGTAACATAGATGTTGCTTCTTCTTTTTGGGGGAAATCAGACCCGAAGGTCTACCTGACCCGTGGCACCAGTTCTTGTGTTTTGTAGCAATAATCTGACATATATGTCAAGATAACAACATTTGAAATAATTAACAATTCACGATGTATGTTGTGTTGCGTGTGAATAATTTAGATCGCATGTTAAAATCGTCTTAGCTCATGAATATTATACACTAAAAGCTAGAAAAAAATTTGGAATTTGTATTTGACATAACCACCCAATCATTGGGCCTAATAATTTTGGATATGATTTGTGAAATCGACATGAGATTGATACGAAATTAACAAGTTCAAGTGTTGTTTTAAGGGATTTGTGCGGTAAATTGTTGGATTTACATACCCACCAAAGACCGACATGAATATCTATATAATAGAGTAGCTAGATTTATTTATTTTTAGTTTTTCGCGGCTCAGATCGTTTGAAGAAATATGATCCGATAGTCTTAATACTAAATTTCCTCTCCCTCCAATTTTTTGAGCAAGACTTTCATTCCTTCTACAGTTCTAAGACTCTTATTTCTCTCTATCTCATATTACACAATAATTATATCGTTAATTATTATTCTAATTAAAAATTATTTTTAAAAAATTTAAATAAACAAATGGACCTTAAATACATATTTTTTACGTTAAAACAAGTCGAATGACTATAATATGAATCATATTTTGTATTGAAATAAAAATATTATAATATTCAAATAGTATAATAGGCGAATAATATATATGTAATAAGATATACCTATATACTAAGAGAACTAACATTATTTGTCTTATCACAGCTCAGATTGTTTTACAATTATTGATCAAATTGTCAAAATTCTTTCTTCAAATTTCATTTTACTCGATTATCAGTTCGAAGTGATTATAATTAGGATTCAAATTGAACTGAATTTAGTTATCGAATATAAAATATATATTTTTACTTAAACTTAACTTTACTTGAATTTTACGAATATTTAAGTTGAAGTCAAATTGAAATTGATCGTAAAAGTATTAAAGAATAACCAAATCAAAAAAAAAAAAGGATGTTTTGGCATTACAGTGAATGGGAATAAATAAAAATTAGTTTGTAGCTTTAATATAGAAGTGTTAATTGAGTCAAACTTACATTCAATTCTTTGTTTAACGTAATTATGATTAAAACTCGAATTGAATTGAATTTGATTGTCGAATATAAAGTATAAATTCTTACTTAAAATTAAAGGGGTGGAAGGTTATTCTCACTTCCAAATCTCCATTCCCATATTTAATTTTTTATTATCAAACTACTAAATCCACCTTTTATATACCCATCTCATGTTACATACACCTATTTTAAAAAGAAAAGAACGAAATAAAGAAAAAAAGAAAAAAAATAAGAAAACCGAAACAAGAATGAAAAAAAAAATTAAGCAAAGATTAAAGGAATAAGCAAAATAAAAAAAAATGCAAAATCGACAATGAAAAAAAAAAAGTAGTATCAAGCAAAAACACAAAATTGAACAAGAAAAAAAATAACAAGTATAGATGTAAAATCTAAACAAAATAAAAAAATAATAAATAATCTGAAAGCATATATATACACACACATAAATTTTAAATAAAAAATTATTAAACTTGACAAAGATATCAAAACATACCGAAAATAATGAAAATCTATACAATAAACAAGGAATCAAAAATTAAATTAAATTGAAAAGTAATACTAACATGTATCTCACTAAAAAATCTATGTTAAAAAAGTATTTTTATGAGTGCATGATATGAAATAGATAACGAAAAATCTAATTATGACAAAATATAATGTGAGTTTACTTATTAAACGGGGTGTATGTAGAATGAGGTGGACTTAGTTACTAATGGGATGAGTATAGAAGGGGTGAACTTAGTAGTTTGATAATAAGAAATTAAATGGAATAAGAATGGAGATTTGTGGGGTGGGAATAGTTCCACCAAAATTTAAATTCGATTGAATTTTAAGAATATTTAAGTTGAGCTTAAATGAAAACTGATTTTAATTTTTAACAAATTTTTTTACATTTACGAGAATTCACGTGAAACTTTTGAATTTTTTCCTCATAAAAATTATATGAACTCACATTAGAAAAATGATATAGAGATAATGTTATGAATTTTAGGTAAAAATCTATAAAAAAACAAATAGTTATATTTTTTTAAAATTTGAGATAAAATTTATTAAAAATATTAAAATTGTGAACATTTGATCAATAATAATTATATTTTTTCATATTTTTGAATTAATATGTTACAGTAATTATAGCGTAACTTTTATTATATAAAGATTTGATTATATATGTTCTGCATACAACATACAGGTTGAATAATATCAATTTAATCGTTGTATTGTATATTGACTTTATTTATAAAAAATATTTACAATTTTTTACAGGTAACGTAGTGCCTCTAGACACGAGTAATTATTAGTAATTAAATATGATACAAACTCAACTATATATAATTATAAATTGACAAGTTGTGAGTTGAACAACTTTTGACACAAATAACTTGCACGACAATTTACATGACTTAAAATTATGGCACGACAAGACATAACCCTACTCCTCATGTTCCCGGGCTCCTGGTTGTGCTCTTGCTGACATTATTAGAATATTTTCTAGCTTAGCCTATTCGACTGTGACACTAATCCAATATCATCCTCCTTCCCATTTTCTTCAAATATGAGTCTCGACATGTGATTTACAGAAATCAGAGTCAACGTAGGGGTGCTTAGAAACATAACAAGCAAAGTGGCGTATTGCTTTGAGGCCAAGCAAAAAAGGCACCTGCAAGTGACTTCAATGGCTCACTAGTTTCAAAAGTCAAAAGGGCATGGAATTCAAATCAAATACTTTAAGACCAAACTACCAAAAACCTGCCTAAATTGGCTGCGTTTCACTCCATTTGGTCAACATATGCACAATTAGATGCGTCCATTTTGGCCTAACCATAATTTAGCCTGTCAATTCGTATTGTCGTGTTGTGTTATTTTTATGTTATGTTATTTTTGGGTCACGTCGTTTTTAGTTCATTTTCAATTAGTAATGTTATTTTCGGATTTTGTATTGTTTCAAATTCGTACTGTATTCACATCAATGGATAAAACTGGCACCACTAACCTTAGTTGTTGATATAGGCCATTTTTTTACACTTGGGCTGGTTTAACACAACCGAGTGGATTGCTGTAAGTTTTAGCCAATTTGATTCCTTAAGGTAACAATGTTGCTTCTACTTTTTTTCCTATTGGTTCTTTGGGTTGAATTACGAGAGTAAAGAATATTCTACGGCAAAATCCTCATATCGCACTTCAAACAAAGTAGTAAAAATTTTATTCTAATATTGCCAACCAAATAATAAACGAATACCTCTAATATACCTTCACTCTATTTTACCCATGAAAGTAAATGTGTTGAAAGAGATGTATTAAAAGAGATCGGAATGAATGAACAAGTCACAAAATGTGACCCTGAAGAATCCACTTTTTTTCTCAAAAGGGCGTGAGAAATGCACTCAAAGCAAAACTCCAGCACACCGCACTTGCTTCAGTGCGTGCCTAACCTCCCACACAACAACCCCCAACTATCCTTAACTTTTCAGCCATGAATTTATAGTTCAAACCTGTAATTAAATGGACAAAATCAAATTAACTCATATACACCAAATAGTCCCATTGACTCCATTCTGTATACTTCGTATTCTTTTCAATACAACCTCAAAAAATGGCCTTCAACAACAAACCCAAAAAACCCATGGCCTCCCTCAAATCCAATCTCTCCACCACCCTCTTCTTCATTGTTCTCTTCACCATCTCAGCTCTCTTCATCCTCCACTCCCCCACCTCTTCCATGTGCACCACCCTATCCACCCACATAAACACATGGTCTGGTGATCTTCGTACCGCGGAATTTTCATGGAATCGCCTAAAATTCAACGATAATAATCCACCGCCCGTGGCTCTGAAGATCGCCGTCTTTTCCCGGAAATGGCCTAACGCTGCCGTCCCGGGTGGTATGGAAAGGCACGCTCATACCCTGCATACCGCTCTAGCTCGCCGTGGACACCAAGTTCATGTCTTCACTTCACCACCTCAAGAGCTTATACAACCCCAAGACCAAGACAGTCAAACTTTATCCCCTCTGATTCATTTCCATGAGGGAGAGCCCGGGCGATGGCGTTATAACAAAGCCTGGGAACAGTTTCAAGAAAAGAACAAATCGGAACGATTCGACGTGGTTCACTCAGAAAGTGTGGCACTGCCTCACTGGCTAGCTCGTCAGGTTACCAACCTTGCGGTTTCGTGGCATGGCATAGCCCTTGAGAGTGTGCAGTCAAGTATCTACCAAGATTTGGCACTTAGGCCTAATGAGCCCATGGCCCCTGCTGTCAACAACAGTCTACAAGGAGTAATCCCCAAGGTGTTGAATGAAATTAGATTTTTCAAAAACTATGCTCACCATGTTGCTATAAGTGACAGCTGTGGTGAAATGCTCAGAGATGTGTACCAAATCCCAACCAAAAGGGTCCATGTGATTGTCAATGGGGTCGATAAAGACGAGTTTAAAGAAGACTGTCAATTAGGTCAACAATTTAGATCAAAGATCGGTGTTCCAGGTAATGCAAGTTTACTTCTTGGCGTGGCCGGAAGATTAGTGAAGGACAAAGGCCATCCATTACTCTATGAAGCCTTCTCCAAGCTCAAATCGAAGCACCCTGATGTCTACTTGGTGGTGGCTGGGTCAGGGCCATGGCAGCAAAGATACAAAGATTTAGGGCCTCAAGTCATAGTTTTGGGGTCTATGAACCCCGGTGAGTTAAGGTCTTTCTATAATTCTATAGACATTTTTGTTAACCCTACGCTTCGACCACAAGGTCTTGATCTCACTCTAATGGAGGCAATGATGAGTGGAAAACCGGTTATGGCGTCGAGGTTTCCTAGCATCAAAGGAACCATTGTTGTTGACAATGAGTTTGGTTTCATGTTTTCTCCAAATGTGGAGTCATTGGTAGAGGCATTAGAATTGGTGGTGGGTGAAGGTTCAAAGAGGCTAGCACAAAGAGGGAAAGCATGCCAGGAATATGCAGCTTCCATGTTTACTGCAAATAAGATGGCATTAGCTTATGAAAGGTTATTCCTTTGTATCAAAAACCAAACATTTTGTATGTACCCTTAGGTGATGTTCAATTATTTTTTACTCTTTCAAAATTAGTTTTTTAGTGATCTCTTGGGGGAAAGTATTTTGTTCAATAATTAACATCCATATATTTTAGTTAACATTCCATTAATTGGTTTATTTCTCTTTCTTCATATCTTTGAGAAATTTATAAAAAAAAAAAAAAATAGTGGGTATAATACATTACATGACAGTGTCGGGTGACGTACATTACTAATAAAATACTTTATATTTTTAATGAATAACTATTGCCTATGAACTTGCCAAATTTTTTTTGAAAAAGCTAACTCGTGTGTTCCACTAGCTAATGTTGTAACAGTTTTTTATTGGGTGCACTCAGTCAAATTTTTCTTGAAATTTACCATTATGTATTAATGATATTGCTCTCTCTCTCTCTCTCTCTCTCTCTCTCTAGCCACATCTAATTTACACGATCAACTTCCTAGAAACCTTTCCTTATTTGGATCCACACATGTAACTAATACCCTTAATTGGTCTAGGCTCCAGTAGGGTTATCCACTTCGTCTTAGGCCCAATCAGGTCGAGCTTATGTATGCTATAGTTTTTCTCATGACTACAAACCAAGCCTTTCCACTCCATTATTCACCCCCTTGGGCATGGCCATGAGTTATCTAGTAAGTGCACAAATTAGTTATATATTTATGTAAATGCTTAATGGTTAATACAAATACTGCACTAACTAACGGTCGCCACCCTTAGTTACGATGCACAAAATTTGCAATGTCTTCCCACCACCATTATCTCTCCACTCCATACCCTCACCCTTTACTCCGCTTCCACCTTAACGTTGTTAGACAATACCCAAAATAATATTTTTTTTGAAAAATAAGTTCAATGTGAAAAAGTTAATAAAAATTGATGATGCACAAAATCGACTCATGCAAAAACAATAATTGAGTGTGTGATAAGATGTAATTAATAAAATAAGCAATGACAGTAATGTAAATATTGAGTCAACACACAGGTATATAGTGATTCGGTCCGGTTGACCTACTCTACTCTGGAAAACAGTAATGGTGGTCGGAGATCTTTATTGATGAAGTAATGTAAACAGGAGAGAAACAGAGCAATGGTTAGCTTCAGGAGAGATATAATAGTTAGGAGAGAGAAAAGTTATGTATGTATAAAGAGATGTAGAGGTAGAGCTCAATGTGTCCTCTCATGTAGAGAGGACTTACAATTTATAAGCACTTGGCCTTGGTTAAGTCGGTGTCTTGAGGGCAAAGGTACTAATTCTCCGAGTGTTTACAAAAGGTAATTATCATAAAAGGTTGTTTTGATCTTTGAGATGGAGTATTCTAATAATTGATTTTCTTGTACTCTAATTCTTTTTGGACTCCTTAGAACTTGGACCGGGCCGAATTTGCAAACTAGATTTGACCTACCTTTTAGTTAACTTAGGATTGTTAAATTTGTTGGGTCTGACCCAATTAAATCTGGGCTCATCAAAGATGATGAAATATATTCAATGTGAAATCTTAGGAGTCGTTTAGTAACGTTTTTGTTTTTGTGTGTTCAAAAAATCAAAAACAGAGAAAATTTTGTCTTTGTTTTGTGGTAAACACTGAAACAAAAAACATGTTTGGTAGTCATTTTTGTCTATCAAATTATAAGAATAAAAACAAAAAACACATTTGGTAACTAATTTAAGTTTTATCCTAAATATATTTTATAATACCTCATTTTTTGTTTTTAAACAAATTAACACTTTATTTCATAAAAAATGATTTACAACCATGAATTAAAGACCTTCAACAAATCACCAATCTTGCACAGCCAAATTTTCGAAAAAATTAGCTATGAAATATGCCTCCCTATACACATGCCCAAGCTGATATAGCAAGAACACCTTAAGGAGGTACCCAACTCACCCAAAAAGCCTTAACCTGCACCTTACCGCAATCAATCCCTAAATCAGACAACCTAAATAAAATACAAATAGACATCATATTACATCAAAATACAAATTCAAACATTCTTTAAACCAAAACATCTATTAATTCATCAAAGAACATCTAAAGAACGATAGTTATATTACATAAGTGAGTAATCACATTCATACATCATAGAGTCCAACATACAACCCCTAAGTTCAGACATTAATAAATTATATCACTTAACTAAAATTTCAACAATTAATACAAATACCACAAACAATAATGCACAAATAAAAATCAAATTACATCCACAACAAGCAAGCATGAAAATAGTAATTCATTTCTTCTCTCTCCATCTTGACTGAGCTTGATTAATCACATGTTGTTCATTTATAATTGTGTTGTACTCATTAACCCAATGAAACAATTATCATGTTCATGTCATCGTGGACAACGATAAAAAATTTGTCCATTGTTTCGTTTGGTCATTGCGACCAAAATATTCATGTTCCCGGATTTACACGAACATGGAGAGCCAATATGTGTCATTATAATACACCTAATTACATTAACATCAACAAGTAAAAATTAGTCATATAAACATTAATATGGAAATATAACAATACAAGTATCAATACATTTTTACCATCATAATAAATAATAACAGTAGGACATATATCAATGGTGAATTGATGCCCACAATTGATTAGCAATTATATCTTTGACACGAGCCATTTGACACAACTGACTCGGACTTATGTCCAATTCTATTGGGACTTGTGAACTTGATCTAGCAATTGTGACGCTCCAAAAATCAGGAGTCCTTAATTTAACAAAATTCAGACAAAATCTCCTTTGTACGAGAAGCTCTACCCAAAACACAACTTGTGCATCATACAATCACATGACCCATCCGAGGTCCAATATACAATATTGACCACACCGTGTCTATTTAAAAATAAGCATTGACCACACCAGATCTATTTAAAAATAAACATATAATAGCATGCAAGATTTCATTAACATAGTCCAAAAACTAATTTAGTTAATGTTTTACAAAAACATAGTTTTTCACAATAAAACTTTATATATACAAGTTCCATTGCAAGTAATTCCATATAATTACATGTCCAAAAACATAATTTTACAATAGTTTTACAAAAACTCGACTTTGCTTCATCTTTGACAACCCGAATGAGAACTATCCACCGGAGTCTATCCCGCACGTGAAATGTGTTCCCGTATAAGATGAGTTATGTCTAGTAGAGTATTTCCTACAGATGTCAGTGGCAATGTCAATGTAGGCGCATGTGTGGGAGTCGATGCATCAGTCAGTGCTGGTCCTGATGGTGGTTCAGCTACCACTGCCGGTGTCGGTGTCGGTGTCGGCTTATGTGTCGACGCTGCTGTCGGTGTCGGCGCATGAGCTTGTGCCGATGCTAATGGTGGAAATAATGGAATAGTCCAATCGTAGTAAAAATGAGGAGGTGACTGTGCAGATGTAGACAGTACATCATCTGCCGACCCTAAAAGTGCGGCAAGTCATCGGTGCTCCCGGACAGCTGTCAAACATGAGGAGCTCATATCAGTAATGTGCCCAATGATGTCCATGCAACTTGTCAAGTCCGGGCTGCCCTCATATGTATCACGTGCAATGTGATATATTCGTGTAAGTGTATCTTCCTACAAGAAAAAATTTCAACAATTTAGTAAATATATTAAACAATTAGTGACATTTGTCCTGCAAATTGAATATAACAGCATTTAACATCTTACCAGAAGCTTTATGATGCTCTCAACAGGCTGAAACCCGACAATCGGCCTAGCAACGGGTGGACCAACAAAACGCCGTGTGATACGACGATACTATTGCATGTATGCGTCGGTCGGATCCATCGATGCAGTACTCAAATCTCCAGCAACAACAGTATCTCTACGATGAGCCAATATCTCCGTGTACATCTGATGCACTATAGACCAATCCCAACCAAATCTGCCTCGACAGTTGACAGCATGTAAGGCCCAACTGGTATCGCATGGCTGTGGTATGCGCTGAATCAGGCCAAACTATCGAGTAACTCGATCTGAAAAATGTCACTCGACGACATTGAAGCAAATCAATGGGACTCGTGTGTGCCAAATATCTTGCCCAATAGGGCAATAATCTGGCAGGGCACCCAATACATCAGTTATATATGGCTCTCATATCATCTACAATACATACTGTGATAAATTTATTAAGTAATGTAAATGTTTTTTTTAAAAAAATTAGACAAAATTTCCTTTAAAAATTGGACATTTTCAAATTTTTTCAACCTGTATACAACACACTCAACTCAATGACATGGATAAACAAATAAAAATCAACATCTCATCATCTCAACATTCACTTAACACGTAAATTCAATCATATCAACCTAAAAAACTTACAAACTTTAACAATGAATATCTGAGTTCACAATCAGATATGGTTAAGCTGATATACCTGATCCTTGTGCATCTAGTCTAGCTGGTCCCGATAGTAACGTAGTACATGGATAGAGTGTGCTACTCCGAAAATGAGACATCCCATCTATACATTTCAACAAGTTTTTAAATACATAATAATACGCAAAATATTTAATTACGTGCTATTGTATGTTTAGTACAAACCTACAACCAAGTGGACCATCATGTACATCGTGTGCATCAACTGCTTCATGGGCAGCACCCAACTCAACATCGATTCCATCTACTGCTGCCCCAGGCCCATCGGGTGCCGCTGCACCCACATCTACACCAACTCCATCTACCGCTGCACCAGGCCCATCAGGCGCCACTGCACCATGGATGACCCGCTGTCGTGGTAGCACACGCTGTGGAACAATGTGTACTAGACGCTTCCAAGCTCACAACTACATACACAATACATTTATTTGACATATGTATAGTAAGAAGAACATAAAACTAAGCAACTAAGGGAACAATGCAAGCAATTACCTGAAGCAGAATAAGTGGAACGCTAATATCCTTCGTGTCCCGCTTAGTAGCGATACACATTTTCCGATATAACCATGATAGTGCTGCACTGCCCCAACTATAAGTGCCAGCCGCATGCAAGTC